GGAACAAGAGGGATGACAGGCAGCGGCTAAGAATCGTGTACCCTACATATCTGCCGATTGCTTGATCAGTCCATGAGCAAATTTCTGGTAATCTTCACAGTAATTAGCCTTCGACTAACTCTTTTCTTCTGGTTAATGAGGTCTTTCCTCGGTATTCTGTGCAATTGAAGCATTCCTTTCGTTTTCTATGGTTTCGATGAGCACCGCGATTCCATAGTCGAGAGGAGCTTGGACTATCTCGCAACATCAGAGGTGACTCGATTAGTGGCATTTAGCAGTGTCATGGACTTAGCCGGCGAAACCTTTAATGAGCAAGCCGAATGCAAGCACCTGAAGAATGCCTTGAATCTCCTAGAAATTTAACCCATTCGTGACAATGGCAGCCACCCGGTGGCTGACAAAGATCTCACTTGTACAATGGTATCCACCGGTGGCTGCCGTGTTTCAAATGGAATTTGGAAAGTTTTCTTTCCTGAAAAGAATCTTCATACCCTCATTCATCTACGCCAGCCCTGGGCAGAGGAAATCTCCATCCACTCAAATTTTATTGAAGAAAAATCTCCTGACGCTGCTGCTATTGCGCAATCCTGCGCGGTCGCGAATGGGTTGAAGAAACTCATGCGCAACTGGGCAGTCATAGTATTCCCACCGAAGGAAGTGTTGGAAAAGGGCCAGATAGGGGCGTAAAACAAGCAAGGCTAGTAAGGCGTGGTTGAGAAGAATGGGTGGAGGGAAATGAAGAGGTGCCGAAGCAAAGCATAATGAAGAGATGGATTCTACGAAACTCCTTATCGCCATTTTCGACCCTCTGCTCAGAGCTTGCCATCAGCAGAACTAATCTACTCCAATCAGACGCTCGTTCTGACCTCGTAGCAGATTTCTTCCGGAATCGAGTTGCGAGCGGGCGGGCTGAGAATCGCTGCCCGTCTGCTTTTCATTTCGCTAATGGTCACAGGCAATTTGGATGGCCGTCTCAATGGCTACCCCACCATTCCGTTGTATTTTCGATCTTGTCTTGTGCCAAAATTCTCTCTTCCAGCTCTTACGCCACATTTTTACAGAATATTTTATCACCTGACCTATTTGACAGGAGCTTCACCCAGGCTGAATTAGACATGAATCCAGAAGCTTGCTCTTCTCACAGAGTAGTGGTTGGATAAAGGTTTGCCTCATGGTTTTTGGTTCAGTTTTCGAATAAATGTTCGATGCGCCCTGATTCAGGATTTTTCACGAGTCTCTTCAAAGGGTCTTTAGAGCTTCTGAAGTGTTCGCAACTCCTCCCAAATCATTTTTTCTGCGAAAACCTTTTTTTTACTGCTAGAACAGTACCTGTTGAGCGAAGGTGGTGTAGCGGATGGAGGCGTCGTTGAATGGTCGTTAGAGCCCAGTCCACTCCATGCTAATCAAGCCTATTATTGTTTGTGGCGAATAAACGACCTGAACGTGTTCTGTATAGCCCCGTAGCCATTCGAGTAACTCTAGCTGGCCCAATGGGTTGTCATGAGGACTCGCCGAGCTATTCTATAAACACCTTACTGTCACTTCTTTCTCGTTTGTCCACCCATTCTATCGAAGAGCTATTAAAGCACGAAGATTCATGTTGTTGGCGCCACTGGCCGTGTCTTGGACTAATGGCTCTCGTCGCACGTGAAGCAGTGGTCGGTCTTTGTTGTCGGACTCTTCTTCTATCATAATCGCCTCCAGTTAGTCTTTGGCATTTCGGTGTTATAGGATTGGGGCAAAATTACTGTGCACCTACATATAATGGATTTTCTTGAATCTTGTTGTGGACTTTCTCGTCTGATTCTTTCATGATATGTAGCTTGAACACGCTGCTACTAATACGCCCTGATCACAAAGTGGTTAGCCTTCCACTTTGCGAAGTGCACCAATCAACCTCCAGCAGAGCGCTATGCGAAACCGTTCTCGACGATTTTCAAATTCTCAAATTTTGTTCGAAAAGCAGCGTTCAAACTTGGTATTTGTTCAAAACCATGGGGGTGTGTTTACTTCTGGAGAAGATTCAGGGGTGAATTCACCAAAGGGTTTGCTCAGGACACTGACCGAGAATGGTCCAGGAACAGTGCACCGAGAACCCACAAGTTCATCAGTTCTGACGAATGGCTCCCCAATTCTCGGCAAAGACCGACAAATTTTTGAGTATGGGTTACCCTAAAAGGAAATGTCTGCTTTATTAATGAACAAAATTTTGAACCCTTTTCATAACGGCACTTTTGGGATCCTGGTACGAATTGATGAGAAATACCCGCGTGCCTCATGCCGCACGTATGCCAAAACGTTTAGAAAACTGTGTAAAGGCTAGAAGCGATCACTTTGAAAACTGTCAATTATGTTTTGAATTGCCGTGTTTTTCTTCAAGTAATGTCCGCGATTTGAACATTTTTGAAAGACAACCTCGAAATGCCAACAAAATAGTGGTGAATCAGTAATTTTGCCCCACTCTGTAGTGGCTAGCGAAGCGCAATCGGGGAGGGAGGGGGTAACCCGTTTATCTACTCATTTATTGGCCACTCTGCCAGGGTCAAGCGAGGCGTTGAGGAAAATTTGGAAATACGACCCCCCCCCACCACCCTCCGCCGGAGGCCGAAGTCCATGAAACAACCCTCTTCAAAAGCCGAACTATGAAAAGGTTGAAAAGCTTGTTTAATTCTCCCCCAAAACTGCTCATAAAAAAGCCCTGCTACCCCACCGCCCACAAAAAAATTCGTTTAAGAAGTACAAAAGTGAAAAAGTCAAAGAATAATCATTATTGATGAGTCCTACCAAACGAGCAAACGAGAAACAGACCAGAAAACGACAAACTAGCCACTAAAAATGGCATACTATGACAACATCTGTTCTTTATTTATTTCCTCCACAAGACTTACCAAATTCTAGTACTACACAGATTGTGGTTCTCAATTTGCACGTAGCCCTTCAGTTGAAAGAAGCTTTTTAACCGCCTTCGCCAGCTGTGTGTTGACTGGACTTTGGCGTTGACCGTGGAGCAGCTTATTTACTATTGAAATTTGAACAAATATTCAAATAATTATAACTTTCTTCAAATATGACGAATTTTCAATCTGAAAGCAGATTTGGAAGTTTTGTGAAGGAAGAGAGGCTTTTTCTAATCCGGTACTGAAATTACAGGAAGTTATAAGAAATAACAAATTTAGGATCAAATAACGAGGAAAATTCGAGACGAGCACGAGTTTTTACACTTTCCGAAGCAACAACTTGCTTCATTTTCGTCAAATTCGAAAAGTTAATATGGCAGACAAAACTAGAAGATTTTCTCTACCAAACCGTTGCTAAAGCAGCTCTATACGTCCAGTATTCAAAAAATGGCCACGTTGAGGATTTTCTGCAAAATTAACGAGGAAAATTTGTGATGAGTGCGAGTTTTTTTACTTCCTAAAGCCATAACTCCGTTCAAACTCATCCAATCCGAAAAGTAAATACGCCATCATAAACTAGAAGATTTGCTCTATCAAATGCTTACTAGAACTGCTCCAAACGTCCAGTATTAAAAAAACGGCTACGTTGAGGATTTTCGCACGAGTACCGCCGAAAGGTACTTTTTCGCTACATTGGCACTATTTCAACGGCTGTATATCCTTTTAAGGGCGATTATGTACTAAAGTAAGAGCAGATTTGGAATCACTGCTTTTCTCTTTCTAAGAAAAGTGATTGATTAGCGTTTCTCAACTTTAAAGGTTACATGTTTATAAATTTAACCCTGAAGAGTCCGTTAACGCAATGTTGAATGGTGTACACCTCCCTGTAAATGCGCACGGACACTTTCAGAATTCTCTCGATTGTTCCTGAATTGAGGTTGTTTGTCCAAGGAGCCGTAGTTGAAGCGCGCGCAACAACTAGACCCTTTCTCGGATGCGCCGTGTACCTCACATCCCTTCAGATTCGGGGTCTTACTTGAAAGATGAAATATCTCTTGGAAAGCGTGCGAAATTCAGATTCTTTTACTTGTGTGGTGATAAAACACTGAAGTAACTAAGAATTACCGGACGCCTCAGAATCACGAAAATTTTGTGTGGGTGAAATATCATTTTCATTGGAAATCCTCTGGCCTGGCATCGACTCATCCTTGATATTTGTCTTCCGGCGGTGATGATCCCACTGCATCAAAATGGCTCGATCTCTTCCACCCAGCGGGCCAATACGACCCCCCCCCCTGCGACGTGTCGAGGATTCCTCAACGCACGCTTGACCCTGCTCTAAAGAACTTCGTAATATCTTCTAAAGTTCTACTGCAATTTTGACAGTTCTGGGTTCCGACACTACGTATTATTTCTTTGCAATGAGAACAAAGATCGAGCGTCGACATTTTGGGGCAAACTGACCATTCATGAGAATCGTTCCTAGAAGCGCTTCGAGATGCTGGGCGGGCAGTAAAATACAGGCGCACGATCTACGAAACGTCCCCTAACAGTCGACTTTCATGATTTTCACACTTCCATGAGACTCTTGAGGATTTCCACTTGGTGGAACTGCCTCATGAGTCAAATTGCTGTTGGAAATTCCGATTTACGGATTCCGCAAAGTTTCTAGGCCACACACCGGAAATGATTAGGTTACCTAGCATCGCTTTTTCCCCAAATTCCGCTCACATTCTCTGACAACTTGGCTCAACTTCTGACAGGGTCTAGTTCGACATCAGGGCTGTCATTCAGACATCTGGTATAAACCAAGGGTCCCATAAGTGTGAGGGTTTTTTTGGATTGAACAGGGCTGTTCCTTCCGATTCCTCGTCCAGGTGTATACATGCGAGATTTGGCGTAATGTTGCAGTTGCAGCTGCCGCTGGTGGAGTAGTTGAGGGCGATTTCAGCCATACGAGCAATCGGCGCGACGTTCACTCGCTCTCGAACATATGTCAGGGTTTTTCCGTGCGTCCCCTCGCCTGCGTTCGCTGCCCCGGGACACTCGCTACAACTCGCACCTCCCTCGAAGAAGTCATCCAGAAGGTCGCTACTCCATCCAATGACATTCCGACTACTTCTGGCCGAATTCGGTCATCCGAGTAAATTGGTAATCGGCGACGAGTTGTTCATGAAAAAGCGATCAGTCAACGGTGAGTTGCTGGTTGTCGCGAATCGTTTGCTTTTGTTTTTCTCGTGACTGTTTCGTATTGTTCGCAAGCTCTACGACCGAATTTATTGCGCAGCAGTCGGATCGCATCGTGTTGCGCTGCTTCTTTCCTCCCTAGGGAGGGTTTCCGCCTCATCTGTGCCTATTCTTGGAGCGATGGGGCGAAGTATTCCCGAAACGGGCGGAATCAAAGCCTCTTGTGCTGATTACTCCGCGACGGACAATCCAAGCCGAAACTCTAATGAGATAATCGCTCCGACGGATTTTGAATATGGGATATAGCCCGACATTAGCGGATCGGGCCGTCCTCTTCTTCCTTCATCCTACTAGCATCAATTCCGCACCCTCCCTGCACGCCCCTTACGCCTTGTAGGCTCGATCCAGGTAATCTTCTGTGTTGCCACCCTTGCTGGATTCCTCTTTATGTCGTCCTTATACCGGTTCTTCAGAGGGTTTCTCGCGGTGCTTTACCGTGCCCCACCTATGGTACCCGGCTGGGGATGGGTCCACCAACCCTATTTTTTCAAAAACAATCCCTCTTCTTGCATGGGATATGCGTCGGCGATCAGAGTGGAGACGCAGAGTTTTTGGGACGAACAGCTGGGTACTGTTACATAGGTCTAGCGCCTTCTATCCTGTGATCCTCTGGCCTTCCAGCATGAGTCCGTACGAACTGTTTTTTTCACCTTTCAGTTAGACAACGGCTTCCAATTAAATGCACCGACATCCTTCCTTTTAACCCTGTCCCCTCGGGTCCAAACCGGAAGTCGATCTCAACGTCATTATTTTTGCCATCTTTTACGGTTTCTTTTTACAAACTGCACTCGCTGACATCGAGCATCATAGACCTTACTATTGCGGGATACACGCTACGCGTGACATCCCGAACCAGCGTCTACGATATTGCGTCGGGTTTTAGCGCGCGTGACAACTGAAACGAGCTATATTCATGTCAAAAAAGAGTAATAGGCAGCTTGAAGTGGGAGGGACTGGGTGACCCTATGATGAAGATTTAACAAGAAGCGATCATCCATGTTGATTTTCTGCTGCCTGGCAAATGGCATTCAC